CTCTTGGTGCACCCCTTTGTGGGCTGTGTGCACAGTCTTGTTGTAGTTAAGTCTTGATTGTTGTTGGTATCACTGGGAGGGATTGACCTCTAGGCGACTTGGCTTTGAGGATCAGCTGTGTCTATGGTGGGAGAACTGTGCTGGAGACACTCTTATGAGACAAGACTTGCTTCAGTGGGGGTCTTGTGCTCGCTGAGTCAGCCTCCTGAGTGTCTCCCTTATGAGGAGTTGTAATCTGGATGGTCCCACTCTGACCCCTGGGTACAGTGGTTCTTGGATCTTTAAGAAGGTGCTAATTTAGCATCTGCCTGAGGCCACCCAGCAGGAGCTACTGAGAAATCTACAGATTCCTCTTCTTTGTTTGGGTTTTGGAGGTACCCAGATGAGGCCCAGCTGTGAAGCAATGCAAACTGCTGTGGGGTCTTGAGCCTTCTTTTGGATGTTCTGGGTCTCACTGACTCAGCTACAATTTGTTAGGTAAGTTTAGAATTCAAAGGATCAGGCCATTCCTATGCAAAAACCTCTGCACACAGCTTGGATTGGGTGGAGTCTTAGGGAGGAGTAAACAGCAATGGCTTCATGAGGCGGGATCTCAGGGTGGAGCAAACAGCAATGGCTTCCTGTCAGTCCTGCCTTGAGAGGCCTCTGGGTCTTAGTATACCACAGTAATTGTTGCAAGCACCTCTGAGAGAAAGCTGCCCTCGAGTTTCGCCTGCTGCCAGACAGTCCATTTTCTCCCCGTATGAGTCTGGGTCCCCAGAGTCTTGCTTGGAATTGGAGTTCAGAGCAGTTGGGAGCTTTAGTCTTCCTTCTGATTGAGAAAGCTAGCCTGGTACTCAGTTGCCAGCCCTCACTGTGTGTGTGCGCACACCCCTCCATACCTCTGCTTTCCATAGCTCCTGTGACTCTCAATGTGCTTTTCTCTTTCCACTAGTTGTAGAATTTCCACTCAGCCAGCCTTCTTGTGGTTCTGAATGATGTCTGTTTTGTCTTTTAGTTTTGAAATTGTTGTGTGAGGCAGCAGTTCAAGTGTTTACCTATGCTGCCATCTTGGTTTCTCCCTTTATTGCACTTATGTATCTTTAACAACAAAAAAGCAACATGATCTCACATACCAAAACAAAACAAAGGTGACCATGTTACCCCTACAGATACTATTTTTCAAAGGCTCTCTGTTGCTTGTAAGACAAAGTTCGCACTCATTTTGTGACTCTTCTCTCCCTTTTGGTCTTGTGTTCTTCCCATGTGCCCTGTGATCTAGCTACACCAAGTCAATTGCCATTCACCAAACATGTCATGTCTTTCATTCTGAGATTTGCAATGTTTTCCTCTGCCTGGAATACTCTTCAGAATTTGTTGGCTGAGAATTCCTCATCCTCAATTTATTTATTTGTACAATTGGAAGATAATAGTGTTTACTTCAGAGAATTGCCATGACAACTAACAGGAAAGATCTCCTATAGTGACTGACATACAGAAGCACTCACCAAGTGTTAGCTTAGCTATCATTGACATTGCTGAAAATCTTCCCTGACTTACCTATTCTAGTTGTGTTAGGCATCTATCCTCTCTAATTCTATATGTCTAATTAACCACGTTGCATAAACTTCAAAACTGACAAAAGTTTCATATTTTAGCACTTATGATATTACAATAAATCATACAATCTATGACACATCGAGGTTTAACTGCCAGAAATTTTTCTTTCTTAGTAATACTTGTCATAATGTTTCTTACAATGAATGGCATATTAGATGATATACTATACTTAAACTATATGATAACTGCCATTAAAATTTTATTATTCAGGGTGAATAATGCATAATTATTATGCATGGAAAATCCTATATTTTCTATGAATCAGTGAAATATCAACATAAGAAAAGGGACTATTAGTTAGAACTTCATAGAAGCAAAAAAAAAAAAAATTCCATTTATATATCCTACAATTTGGTCAAGCCCAACTCACTCCTGAATCACAGAGGAGTAGTCAGATGAAGTGCATGCTGGCATATTTTTCAGTTAAGCACCTCACCTGAAAGCCACACAATGGCTCGACCCAGAGCAAAAGTGGGGATGGACTAGCTTATAAAACTGCATTCCCACAATCTAGGATTCACATTGAAGAAGGTAGAATAAAACAGTGAAGAGGAGAGTGAAGGAATAAGATGAGAAAGGTCAAGAGACTATGTCTTCTGGACTAGCACTTTCCAATAGAAATATAATGTGAGCCACATATAGAATTTTAAGTTTTTGATGGCCATGCTTAAAAACTAAAAGAAATAGGTAAATTAATACTAGCATTTTATGTTTTTAACCCAATATATTTAAAATATTATAATTTTATCATATCACCAACACAAGAATCAGAAATGAAATGTGTTTATTTTTGCACCAACTCTTCAAAATCTGCTATGTGTTTTAGCCTTACACACATCTTAAATTGGATTAGCCTCATTTCCACTGCTCAACAGCTGCATCTGGCTAGAGCCTGCCATTTGTATTGGACAGTACAACTCTACATTGATTTTGACCAACTCAATTAAGTAATGAGATAACAGTAACAGGCTGTTTCAAGAGTGGCTCTTTTTATCACAAAATACTAGACATGTTTAAGATTCGAGAAGTATTTACTTATATATTTTAAAATTCTTTATAGGATGGTAGTTTTCCTTTAGAATCTTTTTGTGCTTTGTTTTGGCTGATTTTGTTTTAACTATGATTTGAGGTTATTCTTAATGTCCTTCCCATATCCCCTTAACTATGTTGGTTAGAGAAGAGCTGACTCCTTTATTCAATTAGATCTTTCCCCAACAAGGCAGTCCTTGGGAGACAGCAAGAAGTGTGATTCATCTCAATATTCCCAGAATTTATCGCAATCCCTAATGGAGAGCGAACTCTGAATAATCTAGCTAGACAGTAGTGGTTTTCACCCTGGGCTGCACAATGGAATCATCGGGGCAGGAGGGGTGGGGGGAGATAAAAATCCTGAGGCCTGGTCCGACCCCTAGAGATGCTGCTGGTAGGTCCAGAGTTTGGCCTGCATGTCAACATTTAAAAAAATTTCCCCAGGTGTACAGCCAGGTTTGAGAACCACTTTACTAAGGTTTTCTTAGAACACCATTCTGTAACCATATCCTTACCTCTCTGACATAAGGCCCACTTTGCCTCAAGTCAGTTTCCTCTCGGAACAGGCCAGATGTTTCTTGAGAAACCTAGTAGGAAAGACACTAACACAGAACCCCAAAAGGAATTTGCAAATTCCTTTCCCAAGGCACCAAAGAAGATATTCAAGGGTCCAAATATTTTCATATTTATCTTTTCATAACAAAAAATAAAAATAAAACTCACTATTTAAGTTTTAAGAGTCAAGCTGGCTTAAGGAGAAAAAGTAAGGCCACTTGAGCACACAGGCAGATAATACCCAGATACAAATATTGCAAAATATGCCAGTTTTTGGATAATAGCAATTAAAAATAAAAATGGAACCTAAGTACACATGAGCCTTCTTTCAAGTGAAGTCCATACATGTCAAAAGCAGAAATTCTTTATTGGGGGTCAGCAAAGGGAAGTATTTCATGCTTTTCTTCAGCCCCTTGAGGTTACATTTACATAGTCATAAAGCAATACATCCACTTTGATAAGTCACAGGACACATAAGTGTTAGTATCACTGTTTGCTCTCATGGCACTTTGCCTGAAAACATTACTTCCATCAATCTGAGGTTCAGCAGTGTCCCAGGGAGAGCTCCGATGTCCACTTCAGCACAAACACGCTCTCACCCAGGAGGAGGGGAAGGGATATCTGAACTAAGGAAGCAGCGGAAATGGAGTTCTTCTGAATCATGGACTGAGTTTCCCTGCCAACCCCCAAGGTGGTCTGTCCATATGGTATGGATTCACCCTGTAATGGTCTTTCTTGATGGTATGCTATCATGTGACCTTATTAACAAATAGAAACAAGAACATATCCCCAAATGTCCCTACATGCATTTCCTCTGGCTTTCTGGCAGATACAAAAGCTCCCTCTAACTGCACTGCACTTATTTTTTTTCCTTATTGAAATGTAATTGGCATATAACATTATATTAGTTTCAGGTGTACAACATAATGATTCAAAATATGTATATATTGTGAAATGATCATCATAATAAGACTTTACCCCATTACTCCACAGTTATAATTTTTTTTTCTGGCGATGAGAACTATTAAGATCTACTCAGCAACTTTCAAATATACAATAAAGTAGTATTAACTATAGTAACCATGCTGTATATTACATTCCTGGGGCTTACTGGAAGTTATGCTCCACACTTATTTTTGTTTCACATCTTAAGCTGAATTTGATAAATTAGAATAAGAAATATCCAAAATGCATTAAACTTCCACATTCACTAACAACAATCAACAAAAATCCCCTATTCCTGTCAAAATCATGGAGGAAGAAGCAAAACTTGATAAGCTTTCTAGTAAGTACTGGGTTTTGTGCATATCACTCCCATTTACCAACCCTGAAGGGCTGATGGGTGTCAAATGATTGAACGTGACATTCACCTGGCCCAATGTTCTTTCCTGAAAAGTAGCGGAAAATTTACAATACAAACTCCCAAATTGCTACACTCATAAAACCAGGAAGATAATCACTATTCACCTGTCCAGGCTGACTGTGAATCTAAAATGTCTGACTGAATATACTTGACATGGATATCATTTGTCAGTTAATATGTTCTAAGGATCCTCTTGGGTTCCATGAAGAGATAAAGATAAATTCTCCTTCCCAAAGTTTAGAAAAACAAAAGTAATATTAAAATTTACAACATGAAAACAGATTTGAAAGATGATATGAAAATTATAGGACAACTCCATATACATTGAGTGTGTAACCACCATGGGAAGATGGACTCATGGAATCAATGAATCTGTTGGTGGTCAGCCAGGATGCATGGGGAAGGAGGCCCCAAAGAAAAATTGTGGAATGAAGGATGTTTCAGGGCTTCCTACCTTTCTGGAAGAACTCCTCTAGTTTGTCCTTGAAAGGTTGGAGGTACTGCTTTGGAGACTCCTTGCACACCACTGCCATCTGTTTCTCACTTGCTGTGAAGAGAAGTTTGGAATTAGACTCCCCAAGCACATGTATTTGCTAAATTCATGCTCTGGGCTATGCATTTGGGGATTGTGTGAAATCCTTCTTGATTACTGTTTATCCAAATTCAAGGGTGGGAGGGAAGGGAGCAAACACAAAAACAACAGGAACAAAAGTAATTAGCTCACCCTACACCTTTCTTCAGGAACTGGCAAATGTATCTTTAATTTTCCTTTTAGAGATGCTGCAAAACTTCTAGCTTGGGACGGCGAAGTACTCTGCTTTTGGTCTCTCAAAAATAGGTGCAAAAAACTACTGAAGAACTGAGGGCCCTAATTCTCTTCAGATCATACTCCAAAAGTAGAGTTTGAAATTGATTTTACAGAAATTCTCAGGCATTCCAGTTGCTTTGAACTACCAAACTGGCTATTCCTCAGGGTGACATCCATATCCTAGCACGAGAAACTAAGCCCAGGTAGGGAGAACCACATCTCTTTTCATGCTTCCCATTCACCTACCCTTCTCCTTTACATTCTGCTAACATATGTGAAATCATTTTATTTGTGACTTATGTCCCTAGATTCCAAATTCTTAGAAAGGGAATAGTCGTTATTGGAAATAAAAATCTTGATAAATTCTTGGAGTCAAGCATTCCACCATCCCCAAATGAGGAGTTGGTTGTTATCTAATATTCTGACTTCAGGGAAATGGCATGTTGTCTTTCATAACAGATGAAGAGGAATTTTGATCTGTTTCAGGAGAAGAGATGGACATGGAGAGAAAAGGGTAGCAAGAGAGAAGAATAATTTATTTGGAGAAGAATGGCCTCTGGGACATCTCCACTGCTTTAGCAAAGCCTCCTGAAATCAGTGTTTGCTGTGAGTGAATGTGGGCTGTGGGCACCAAATTGGGGGCTTAATTTTTCACTGAGTTTGGAACTAGTGCAGAACAAACATATCTCACAAGGAGGCAGAGGTGCCTTCTCCTATGCACTCCTCTAATCCTTTTTCCTTCAAATCTTATAGATAGTTCTATTTTTCTACAGAGATTGGATTTTGGCATAAATTATTCTTAGATAATAGGAGATAGGTTGGTTTCTGGCCCTACAATGCAAATATATGGGTTACACAAACACTCATATATTCAAAGTATTCGTTGAATATCTGAAATATGCCACTGTGCTAAATGTTGGGGAAAAATATTTAACCAGATCTATTGGTCATCTCTCCTCTAAAAATATTAAGTGTCTAGTCACAGAGAGACAAGGAAATCAACAAATTGTAATATAGTGTGAAGTTATAGGATACTGAGTAGGGGCTTCCAATTCAGATTGGGATTGGGAGGTGGCCAGAGAAGATTCTCAAAAAAAAGATAACATAAGTCGAACTGCAAAGGTCAAAGAAGAGTTAGCCAGCCAGACAAGGGAATAAAAAAAAGTGAGGAGTAATTGTAAAAGAGAGGAAATATACTGAGTAAAGAATTATAGAAATGCATAGGTCTTTTGGGATAAGTTAAATGGTAATAGTATGACTGCAACTCAAGACATGGACCTTCTTTCTTTCCCATGTCTACAGTTTCCTGTGTCTAGATTTTGATTCAAAGGAACAAGATTCAAGGAACTGGACAAAGGAACTGGATCCAAAGAGATTGGAGCTACTCTGATTAGGGAAGAGAGGTCAGATAAGGACACAGAAGTAGGAGACATATAATTTTAAATAACGTGATCAGGAAAAGTTCCCCTTTGAAGATATTTGACTAGATACTTCACCAAAGAAAAGAAGGAAGCCATGAATAAGTTTGAGGGGGAAAGTCAAGAGTTATTTAGGATATGTTAAGTCAAGAGTTATTTAGGATATGTTTGAGATGCCAATTAGACACTCATTATATACAAAACTCTACAGTTTAGGCTGCATAGCTAGGATAGAAAAACATTTCAGGAAGTCACATGCATAAACTTGGTATTTAAAGCCACAAAAATAGATGAATTGGTAGGGAAAGAATGTAGCCAAAGAAGAGAATGGTTTTCAGAACAAACCCTGAGGCGTGTAAGCAGTGGAGGAGAAGCCAGAAAAGGGTAGGGAGTGAGAAAGTAGAAGTATGGAATCACACAATCTGAGAGGAAGCCCATATTGCAAGAAAGAAAGAGCAGTCAGCACTGTGCAATACTGTTGAAAGATCAAGTAGAAGACAGAAAAGTAACCATTGGTTCTAGTGGCATAGAAGTCATGGTCATCTCAGGAATAATTTTGGGGAGTGAGGAATGGAGGGAGGAAACCGAATTGGAAATGGGAAAGGTAAGTGGAGACAGATTCTACAGCCATTTGTTTAAAAGTTAAGCCAGGAAAAGAGCAAAATGACGAACATCCTTCTACCCAAGAAGATGTTCTTTGGGGTTACTCCAATTCAGAGTGGGTGTCCCTTTCCCCAGAGGAATGTTGTGTAAAAATAAACCCACCAGGGAGCCTGAGCTCAGGGGAATCCCATGATACTGATTCACTTCACAGAGGGAAGCCGCCTGCGATGAAATTCACCTTAACGTCCCATGATCATAAGCATTCTCCATGAAAAAATTTAAGCAGAAGTGACAGGGCCAAGTGAGGACATGCCAACATGCTTTAGGACTTTTGGAAAGACTTGCGAAGCTGGGCCACCGACTACAGCTTTTGCACGGAACCATCTAAAGCGCTATTCAAAGATCCCTCCTATCAAACATCACAGCCGAATCAGAATTTCCACTGTGATGATTATGTGGTTATAGACGCAGCCTTGATCTGCGAAACATTAGCATGAAAAATATTCATTAATCACCTACTCATGACTAGGCCTAGATGGATGGGTTGAGAATGATTTGATTTATAGGGTGCTAAGCAATCCATCTATTTATTTAAAACATCCTTGGTTGCATGAAAATCGCCATCATCAGAAGCATTCCCTTGATCAAAAGATGCTAACTTCAGCCGGGACCGGTTTGGCTCAATGGATAGAGCGTCGGCTTGGGGACTGAAGAGTCCCGGGTTCAATTCCGGTCAAGGGCATGTACCTTGGTTGCGGGCACATCTCCAGTAGGGGGTGTGCAAGAGGCAGCTGATCGATGACTCTCTCTCATCAATGTTTCTAACTCTGTATCTCTCTCCCTTTCTCTCTGTACAAAATCAATAAAATATATTTTAAAAAAAAGATGCTAACTTCAGATCTCCTTAGAAATACATATAATATATATGTTAAAAATAAAAGTATTAGCAAAGAAGAATTTATTAATACTTTAGTAAAAGTTTATTTTTGAGACCTGTTTGGTAAAGGCTGGGTGTCCAACAATAGACAGAAAAGTTGTGTTAAAAGGAACATTCCTGTGGATTCTGATCTCTAGGTAGACTGTATAATAGGAAGCCTTGGGCAGATAGCTCTAAACATGAAGTTCCTGTGCATCTTAGGGAGAACAGCATTAATTTCTGTAAAGTATTATGAAGGTAATACAAAGAAACGCAAAAGGCATTTATAAAAAGTAGCAGGAAACAATTCATGATTCCATGACTAGGACAGTTGCCATTTCATACTCTGGTACCTGTTGTTTAGTGTCTCAGCATCACACAGGCCCTCCATAATTTGATAGGAGTTGCCTTTATATGTTTTTTTTTTTTACACTTCCATTTGATAGAGAAATTTGTATACCTTATTCTTTCTACTAATCATATCATGCGCACTTTCTCATATTATTTCACAAAATTCAAAAGCATTGTATTTAACAGCCATATAAAATTTCACCCAGTTGTAAGTGTCCTAGTTCACTGAAAAATTGCCTTGGAGTTGAATAGTAGAATCCTTTCTAATTTATTCTTACAGTGAATCATTCAGGCTTTAAGTAATATCAGTGCCCAAAAAACTCTTATTCTGAGTTTAAGATTATTTCTTTAGGATAGATTTCAGAAGTGGAATTATGGGTAAAATAGAAAAAAAATTTAGATACAAACTGCTTTTAGTATAACATGGATTGTACCAAAATGAGGAAAACAAAGGACGGCATTATAAATATAAAACTGTGGCTTCCCTACTGCTTTGCAGAGGTGGCTAGCTACATACAAGCTGGAACTGTGCCTGTCACTGTACATGGGGCTTGTGATCCTTGCACTGAAGTGAGCACACTCTAGAAGAGCAAACATAGAGATGACCATCCATGCAATGAGGCAATTTATTCAAAGGCGAAGACATACAAAAGTGGATGCAAGATAATGTTGGGTTAATTAATTACAGGGTAAGACTGGGTTTGAAGCCTGTCCCTGAAAGTGGCCTTTTTGAAAGGTTTTAGGAGTGACATTTAATTTGAATGTACTCTGTCAATACCAATGGAGCTATCTGAATTTTGGGAAGGTCTATAGTAGATTTAAAATTTATATTAAATGCTCAGATTTAAACACATATACATATATGCATATAAGTTGGTTAATCTCTTTTCAGAACCCCTTCCCTCTGAGATCTGTCAGTCTGTGGCATGCTTCCGTGCCTCTGGACCTATTTGTTCATCAGTTAATTTTGTTCATTAGATTGCACATATAAGTGAGATCATGTGATATTTGTTTTTCTTTGACTGGCTTATTCCATGGGGAATAGTGTGGTGAAGGCCTGGGGTTATGTGGGAGTAGGATAGAGTGGGGAAAAGGGGGATAACTGTAATTCCCTCATCAATAAAAATAAAAATACATATACATTTATATACTTAGAAATGCATAATTTTAAGATGCTCAGACCTGTGGATCATCAATATCAAATAAAGACATGGACACATGATTACAAATTCAATCCATTTTGTGAAAAAGAGATAAGAGCCTACATTTTGGGGCAACCAAGTGAGCATTACTTTAAGAAGTATTTTTAGTAAAAATCAGTGGGTAAAAATTAAGAGGTTGCTGATGGAATCAGCAAAGGCAGAGAAAGCAAGGCCCTATTGGCTAAGATGCCTCATTCTCATAGAAATGATATTAGAGGTCAAGCAATTCATCCTATCCAGCGCTCAAAC